AGATAAATAAATAAAACTAAGGTGGCTCTGTAGCCTAGTAAAGGGAGCCATACCCCACATGGCTGACTATGGTTTGAATCTCAGCTACTGTGCCTTGAAAAACATGCCAGGCATATGCACATACACACCTAAAATCCTGACAGGATGGGGAAATGAAAGAAAAGGGATTACAATGTGACCACACCCCACACGTGTGTGTTCTGTCTTCCTTATGGCAATTATTTAAAATACAAAAATCTTTTTAGAATTATTTAATTCCATTTATTATTTTTTTATTTTTATTTTAAAATTTTGACCAGAGAGAGAGAAAGAGAGAAAAGGTAAGTGAGAAAGCAAGCCGCTGGGTCCTGCAGTCCGGCCATGTGGGAATCCAGTGCCTTTAACCACCATGCCACTTGCTGGTCCCTAAAAATACAAATTTTAATATACAGTATTAACGACTTAATTCACATTTACACTGTATTAGGTATTATAAATAATGCAGAGATGATTTAAAGTATACAGGAGGCCAGCAGGTGACATGAAAGTTAAAGCAGCTGGATCGTACATGGTTGACTCAGCGGTTTGAGTCCTGAACCTGATGGCTTGAAAAATACACTGGGCGGTCGGGAACCAGCAGTTAGTGTAATGGCTATGTCGCTGGACTCCCACATAGTCGACCGCGGTTTGCTCCCTGTACCCGGTGGCTTAAAACTCACGCTGGGCACGTGTGCGTGCGTGCCCAAGATCCCGGGAGGAGAAGGGATTGCGGTGTGGCCATCCCCCCTGGGGGGTGATTTCTCGCTTTCTGTCTCTACTCTACGTCACTCTCTGGCTGGCTGGCAAGCACACGCGCCCTATAGTGAAAATCTCTCCAAAAAAAAAATAGATAAATAAAAATACACTGGGCGGTGACTTTGGACGTCCGCTCAACCTCTGGGGAGGAGTTTTTAGTTTCTGGCCTGGCAGATTTGCTCTGTGCTTTCGGACCAGAGTCCTCCACCATAAACATGCTCCGCCAGACCCTGAGCCAGGCCAAGAAGTATCCGAGTTTGATTCCCCTGTTTATATTTATTAGAGCTGGAGGCACTGGAACAGCACTGTATCTCATGCGTTCGGCAGTGTTCAATCCTGATGTCTCTTGAGACAAAAAATAACCCTGGACCCTGGAACAAACTGGGTTCCTATGATCAGTACAAGTTTTACTCAGTGAATGTGGATTACAGCAAATTGAAGAAAGAAGGCCCAGACTTCTAAATGAAATGTTTCACTTATAAAGCTGCTCATAATGAAGGTGTTCCAGAAGCCATCCGCACAATTTTCCAGTTAACCAGGAAATATTTCTCCTCTAAATGCATGAAATCATTTTAATGTGTTCAGATTTATACTGGTTAATAAATATCTGAAACTTAAAAAAAAAATACACTGGCATGTGTGTGTACATGCCCAAAATCCCAAGAGGATAATGGAGAAAGAATTGTGGCATGGCCATCGCTCTTGGGGGGTGATTTCTTACTTTCCCTATTTCTCTCTTTGGTGAGCACACATGGCTAATGGCAAACTAAAATCTGCAAACAAAAACCTTGAGGCCAGCAGTTGGCATGGTGGTTAAGGCACTGGACTCCCAAATGGCCAAAGGCAGTAGGAGTCCCAGATCCAGCTGTTTGACACTCAAGTCATACCTGATAGTGGGGAAGGGCAAAGGGCAGTCTGAGCAAAAGCTTGGAGGTACGGACTTTTTAGTAACCTGAAGGGTGCAATGGTTCTGTCTGGGCCTTAAGATGAGACACAGACACTTGACTGATCCATGTCCTCTTGCGCCATGCTAAGAAGTCTGTACCCCCAGACCAGTCAGCATTCTGGATTGCAAACTGCAGACAATGCTAATTTGAGCAGAAAACTTTATTAAAAGGTTTTTAGAGTCATAGAACTCAAAGGAAGAACAGATTCTCAAGGGTAGGAATAGTGGGACCCTATTCCAGGAGCAAAGGGTGGCATTCTCCACACTGGATGATGGAGGCTCAGGGCCATGGGGTATAGCCACCTTCCTGAATCTTGTCACCCCTCTTCATGTCTCTCATTTTAGATGAAGAATCTGATTGAGCTTTGATCAGATGCTCATGTTCTGGATGCTGGAATCAGGGAAAGCAAGTAATCTGAGCTCACTGCCACTGAGGGAAGTGGAGTCCAGCAGAAAGGCCACTTGTAGTGGCCAAAACTGGTAGCCATCCATCACACCACTGCATGATGACAGGAAGTCAACAGACTTTTTTGTTTTTATTGTTGTAAAATACAAAACGTAAAATTTACCATTTTAACATTTAAGTGTATAGTTCAATGGCATTAACAACATTCACGTTAGGGGCCAGATGGTGGTACAGCAGTGAAATGTAGTGCTCTGCAAGACTGACCTATGTGGGAAGGTGTCAGGTGTGCATGTGGAGAGCTCCCTAAGTATACCAGGCACACATATGCCCATCACCTGAGGTTGGCTGAAGTTGAGGGTGGATCACAGTATCGAGACCCTGTTGCAGGAGTCCTTTCTCTCACTTGAAGAATTAACTTAAGAAAAAAAAAAATCACATCATTGTGTAATCACCACCACTATCAATCTCCAGAACGATTTCTTTCCATTTTACTATAGGCCACATGTGCTTGCTGGAGAGACAGAGACATACAGAAAATGAAAAATCACTCCCCTGGGGGATGGCCACGCCACAATCCTTTCTGCTCCACTCTCCTCTTGGTATCTTGGGTACGTATGCACACACGCCCAGCATGAGTTTTAAGTCACCAGGTGCAGGACTTGAACTGTGGTAAACCAGCGACGTAACCATTATACCATCTGCTGATCCCCACTCCAGAACCATTTCACCATCCTGAAATGAATCTCTAGGGGGGAGATCTAGCTCCTCTTTCTTCCATCTCTCCAGACTCTGGCAACCACTGTTCTACTTTATGACTCTGAACTTAAATATTGTATAAACATCATATAAATGGAATATTAAGGTATTTGTCCTTTTGTCTGGCTCATTTTACACAGCATGTCTTCAGAATCCAAACATGTTGCAGCAAGTACCAGAATTTCACTCCCTTTTAAGACTGAGTAACATTCTATTATGCATATATACATTTATCCTTTCATCCATGGAGGGACATTGGTGTGGTTTCCACCTTTTGGCTACTGGATAATGCCGTTATGAAAATTAGCATACAAATATGTCTGAATTCTTGCTTTTAATTCTTTTGGTCTTACACTCAGTGGAACTGCATTAGGATTTCAGCAAGAGAAACAGGATCACATTTTATGACTTAGAAAACTCATTATGGCAACCAGGCAGTTTGGAGAAATGAAAGGTCAATGGGAAGGAGACCCACTAGGGGTTGGTATAATTGGCCAGTGGCCACAGAAGTAGAGGGATGCTGAGGTTGGGGCTAGCCAGACAGGATAGTTGAGAAAGAGTTACAGTTGACTCTCAGGACCCTGGCTTATGTGACTGGGTCAGCTGGTGTTGTTAATGGCACAGACAGTACAGGAAGAGGAAGCACAGGAAGTGGCAAGTTGTTGAGATGAGTTGGTCAGGTTATCTAGTTCTACAACAGATTCTGGTCTGAAGATCAGGTTGAGGTACAGGTTGGAGATAAAGACTGACAAATCTTGAGCAAAGTGACCCAGAGAGCCTGAGGTTATCCAGAGAGAGCAAGTAGGTTAAGTAGAACATTCAGGACTGAACCAAGAGGTCAACAACCTATTTCAGGGGAAATCAACAACGAGAAGCCAGCAGTGCCATGGGCCCAAGGAGAGAACCCTAGCTCAGGCTGCAGAGACCTGAGTCTATAGCATAGAATAGGTCACTGATTACCACTGTCTGACCTATAGATGAATGAGAGCACTGGGAATGGATTTGAAGGAAGCAGGGAGCATTGGGAATATTCTTTCAAAAAGTCTGACTTCGAGAGGAATAATGATAGTTATGTAATGATAGCTAACAACAAATGTTGGTCAAGGCTATTTTTTCTTTTTGAAAGGTTTTCGCTATAGGGTGCGTGCGCTCGCCAGCCAGACAGAGAGAGCCAGAGAGACAGAAAGTGAGAAATCATCCTCTGGGAGAGATGGCCACGCCACAATCCCATCTCCTCCATTCTCCTCTCGGGTTCCTGGGCACGCACGCACACGTGCCTGGCGTGAGTTTAAGTCACCCAGCCCAGGACTCGAACCGCGGTAGACTACATGGGAGTCCAGCAATATAGCTATTACCCTAACTGCTGGTCCCGGTCAAGGCTTTTTTGGTTAGCTTTTTTGGTTTTTTTTTTAAGGCAGATTTTTGCTATAAGCATGTGCCTATAGAGAGACAGAGAGAGAAAGTGAGAAATCATCCCCTGGGAGAGATGGCCACGCCACAATCCCATCTCCTCCATTCTCCTCTAGGGATCTTGGGCACGCAAACACACATGCCCAGCATGAGTTTGAAGTCTCCAGGTCGGGGACTGGAACCACAGTCAACTACATGGGAGTCCAGTAACATAACCATTACGCCATCTGCTGGTCTCTTGGTTATTGTTTTTAACAATAAAATGTATGTAAGCCGTTTAAGACATGAAGAAAAGTGAGTAACAAGGTCTCAGAGATGAGAGAATTGAATAAAAGCCAAAGTGAAAAGGTGGGCCTTAAAAAGAGGGTGTGGGAAGAAGGTCAAAGTGGACAAGTATGAGGAAGATTTAATAGTCTTGATTTATTAAGACGATTAGTAGACAAGGACAAGAGTAAAGGGTAAGATGGAAAGAAGGATGGTTGGTGCCACCTGCCTGCATGTTCCTGGGCCCAGCATCAGACCAAGTGAGAGAATTTCCAGGAATTGGCCTTTCATATACATACATACATATGTATTATTATTTAACTTATTTATTTTTATTTGACCAGAGAGGGACAGGGCGAGAGAGAGGAAAAGTGAGTAAACAAGTCGCTAGGTCCAGGACTTAAACTAGTTGGCCATGTCAGAGTCCAGCGCCCTTAACCACCACGCCACCTGCTGGCCCCCATATACATATATTTTTAGAGACAGGGTCTCACCGTGTCACTGGGGTTAGGCTCAAACTTGTGATCCTCCTGCCCCAGCCTCCCAGGAGCTGGGATTTCAGGCATATACCGCCATGTCTGGCATCCGTGACAAGCTCTCCAGGAAGTCCTACAGAACCCAGTGCTGTACACACAAACAAAAAACAGATGCAAACGTAGGGGCAGTGACCTACCACAGGACTACTTGGAGGAGGCCAGGCTAGCAGTCTCTACACAAAGACAAGCTCACCCAAAGGTTTCACATCTTGGGCCTCACACCCTCAGTGCTGCCTTTGACTCAATAAGATACAGTATATGAACTGTAGAAACTTTTAATCAGATTTTTAAAATTTTAAAACAAAATCCCCAATTTTCCTTAAACACCATGTTCTTCGTTACTCAGGGACAGGTAAGTATGCAGTGATAATTCAGCATTGTTTGTCTACTCATGACTCTGCAAGACCAAGACATTTCTCAAGAGTTCTGTCTTGCTAGCTAGTGAGCACAATGGATCTTTTGGTGTGGTCTAGCCTAAGGACATCTAGTCACCATGTCAAGGAGGGCTTACCTACAGGTACTGACAAAGCTTAGAGCACTGAATAAATAGCATGGAACTCCCAGGACTAGCAAAGGGGCTCATTAGTACCTGGCAGGCCTGCACTACTTCAAGTACTCTAATCAAACAGGCATCTTCCCTAGCATCTTCTCATTTTCACCAGCTCCTCCTTATTCACCCTTTTCAGCTACTTCCATAAACTTGTAAGCATCAAAAAATGCAACAAGGGGTCAGCAGATGGCGTCATGGTTACATCACTAGACTCCCACCCTTAGCCCCAAGCAGTCAGCGCTCCTTCAACATGGCATTTATGCTAATGTCTTAACAGCAGAACACGAAACTATGAAACAGCTTCTATACAGTAGACACTTAGGGTCTGAGACCTGACTAAGACTTCCTTCTCTCCTTCAAAAGGTAGAATGAACATCCAGCTTCCTTCTCAAACATGGAACTTCCCCCAGCCCATGAATTCTCCTGGACTATCTATAAAAGTTAAAGAAGAAATCCCCAGAACCAAAGTTTCTCTATCTAGATGAGTTGATGGCTGAGAACTAAGGCACCAACAGAAGACAACTCTGGAGGGACAGCCTGAGCCAGCTGTAACTCACAGGGCCTGCTCCTGATGGGGCTGGTTCAGGGTAGCCATGTTTCTCAAGAACAGAGGTTCACCCCCAGCCCTTTTAACCTCTTCTGGTTGGGCCAGTGACTTTACTCCCCCACCTGAAGTCTGACTAGAAACTGTCTGGGATGCTTAGGGGAGGTAGGAAGGAGAAGCATGGACAGGACACCAGTGAGTGTGGCCAGGCTAGGCAGGGCCCACTTCCTGAAACTGAGACTGCTGCCACCACTGCATAAGCCCTCAGAGGCGAGCAGGTCTCAAGTGCAGCAACAGCACACAGACAGGTAACAAGGCCAGGGGAGGGGACCCCAAGTGTCTTTTCCACAGAGAGGGGACTGTGTACAGGGAAAGGAGAGTCTGGCCAGGTGCACCCCCACTTCATCTCATTCAATCAGGAGATCAAATTGCTCAGCAGCTTCAAACTCAGCATTCATGGCCGTGGCCCACTCATCCAGCTCCGATTTCTGGGGGAAGAGAAATGGGAGGCAGGTGAGTAGGGAGGGGGAACACAATGGCTAGAGCATCTCACCTATACCTTTCAGGTACATGCCTAGGTCCAGCCCTGCACAGCCCCTGGTGTATAGGCTGTGATGGCAGAGAAAAGCCCTTGCCCTTCACTCACCAGGATCTCCGGCACCTTCTTCTTTCGTTTTGCTTTCACAACTGGCGGGGAGATTCCAGGGAGAGTTGTGTCTGGGGCCCAGGGCTTCACTGGGACCCTGGGAACCTCGATTAACTTTGAACACTTCACAGGTGAGACTCCAGACAAGTCTTCTGCCTCTGGCAGCCTCTCAAAGCCAAAGCAGGACCGATGGCCGGGGGTGGAGGTAGAGGCTGAACCAAGGCTCTCAAGGCGGCTGTAGGACCGCCGGACCTTCTTAGACATTTCCAAGTCTCTGGCATCAAGATCTCCTTCACTGGAGTTTGGCTCAGTGTTCTGGGTGAACACAGGAGTGGTGGTTGGGGTGACAGGGACACTACATATCTTGAAGAAGTCTTCCTTAGTAGGCTCACTGCTGGGAGGGTTATTTTCTTTTTCCAAAGAAAAAGCAATCTGTACCAGGATAGAAGAGAGAACATTTCCCGATTACTTAACTGGACTACTAACTTCCAGAGAGGCCCAAGGAGATTTAGAGTAGAAAGAAGACCTAGAAAATGAACTTTTTAAAAAGATTTTCACCAAAGGGCATGTATGCTCACTAGAGATAGATAGAGACAGTGACAGGGAAAGTGAGAACTCTCCCCAGGGGGAGGGGCACACTGCAATCCCTTCTCCATTCTCTGAGAATTTTGGGCATGCATGCACACATGCCTGGTGTGACTATCAGGCAGTCAAGTCCGACACTTGAACCACAGTTAGTCATGTGAAAGTCCAGCACCTTAACCACCATGCCATCTGGTGGCCCTAAGAACAAACTTTTTTTTAAGGCTTTTGCCATAGGGTATGTGAACTTGCCAGAGGGAGACAGAGAGAGAGAAAGTGAGACATTGCTTCCTAAGGGGAATGACCACACCATAATCCTTCTCCATTTTCTTCAGGATTTTGGGCATGGACACACACACACCCGGCATGATTTTCAAGCTGCTGGGTCCTGAGCTGGAACTGTGGTCAGCCATGTCAGAGTCCAGCGCCTTAGGCACTATGTTACCTGCTGGCCCCAAGAACAAACATTCTTAAAAGGACAAGAGACAAATCAGACCCTGAAACAAATGTGAGAAAATAACCACCTTTACTTCTGAGAAGTCTGCATTTATGACATAAAACCTACTATGTGCCTGGCATCTGGTCACCTCTGTCCAAGTGACACAAGACCTCATTTCACATCATCTAGACCAGCTCAACAACCTCCTAATTGTACGTCCTGCTCCCACCCTTGCCGCTGTAGTCCATCTGCCACACAGCTGATGGCGTCTTCCTGGATGCCCATCTAGTCAGTGAGCAATGATGGGTCTCCTACCCTGTATCAGGTACTGAGAGAACAGGGAGTACCTGGAGAGGACCTGTGACACCATGGTGCTCCCATTCTGTCGGGGAAGACAGTGAGATCATGTGTTATGTTGGAGGTATTAAATGTTATGGGAGATGGGGCCAGAAGGTGGCATAGTGGTTAAGGTGCTGGAATTCCCACATGGATGACCATGGTTTGAGTCCTGGACCTGGCAGCTTGCTTTCTCACTCTCCCTCTCTCTCTGTCTTTCTCTGGCAAAACTCATGTGAAAAATAATATTAACAACAATAATAAATAAATCTTTAAAAAAATGTTATGGGAGAAAAATAAAATGGGATAGAATGCTGAGAGTGGGCTGAAATTTTAAGTTGAAGGACAATACAGGTCTCACCGAGGAGGTGATATTCAAATTACAACTTAGAGGTGAGGGAGTGAATTATGTAGACATCTGGAGGAAAAGTGTCCTAGGCAGTGGAAACAAGGAGTAGGACCAGCAGTTAGCGTAAAGGCTATGTTGCTGGACTCCCATGTAGTCAATTGAGGTTCGAGTCCTGGACCTGGTGGCTTAAACTCACGCCGGGCATGTGTGCATGCGTGCCCAAGAACCCGAGAGGAGAATGGAAGAGAAGGGATTGCAGCGTGGCCATCCCCCCCCC